AACGACACTTAGATACCTAAATCTCACATGCGGCCTCACTTCGTGGTCATCTTGGCTCAAAGTTCTAAGCTTTGAAAATAAAGGCGATACGCTGTCTAGCCGAGCCGCCTGTCAGTGCGGACGTAGCCTTACCGTAGCGGATCCTACGAATGCATTTGATAATTACGTCCGTACTATGTTATTCTAGTAAAATATCCTTGCGTGGTTGTAGTATACTGATAATTTTCAATTTCCCCTCGGTAAAAATGCGCAATGCATTTCCCCAAAAAAAAACACTGAAAATTTTGCCAATACGATGTGTTAGGTTAGTATTGATGCGATCAGCGTCTCTGTTCGTTCGTAAACCTTGTCCCTGTCATCTGTCATTTGAAGCAATAAAATTTTGGGCGCTAAACGTCGATTTTCTGGTATTTTTTTGAGTTCTTTGTATAAACTAAAAGTTTATTGTCATCTGGAAATACTATTTTGTTGAAATTAATTTTGAAACTTTCTCATGACTCCATGCTTTTTTCTATTAAATCACTAATTCCTTTTTCTAGTGTCACTCTTCCTTCGTTCAGAGGGACCTACTTCAGAGGTTACTCTGTTATAAGCTGTAGAATACAGAGCTCTTTTGCCGCGAATGTCCTGGAAGAAATCTTGATTCCTCTATTGTTTTGGCTTTTATTGTTACTTTAACCTGAACTAAATATCAAATAATCTATAGAATCTTATTCATAATCGTGATTATATTAATATGGCCTTAATTGGAGAGAATTCGACTTAGGGTCCTTCAACCTGAATTGGAATCGTCCTTCTTTTACCAATTCTTAAAAGGCCGCTAACGCACTCGCGACCCCTCTGGCATTGAGTGTCCATGGGCGGCGGTATCGCTTATATATATTCACATGTCCTTTAAAAAAAAATTCTATTTATTATTATTAAGTTGGTTAACAATATTGTAAATACTCTATATTTATGTGTTATTATAATAAAATTAAAATAATACTGTCAACTTTAGAATAATCAATTCCTGCGCGTTATTTGACCCTTTTAACCCTATAACAGTTTATATTACATTGTTACACTTTTAAATTAAAACAATAAAGTAAACAACACATAATTTCCCTAAACAAAGGCTGACGGCGGCACGAAATCGTAATGAAATATTTATGTAAATGAATACAGAATGATAAATTATGATTATGATAGCGAAGCAATATCTATGTCAACTTTATAACCTTGCTATGAAACATGTTGATAGATAAAGAACTGGATATGATTTAGTATTTCAAAAATACACTTATATTGCACAATTAAAGGGAATGTAATAATAATACTAGCTTTTTAATTTAAATACTTTTTCATTTGAACTCATTTCTATTTCAATCTTCTTTTAGCTATCTGTGTGCCCTTTTTTGGCAATGGCCTCCTAAGAATCCGGCAATTCCTCTCTGCACTGTGCCCTCTCTGCCATGTACCACCTGCTTCTTGTCTTACTCTTTTTCGTTTGCTACATTAGTTACAGCTACAGTTTAGTACATTTTTGCACCACTTTTCTGTTCCTTTTTCCATGGCAAAGGAAATGTAAGGAAATATTAGTTAAAATGATTCGGCACCAAAAATTATTGTAGTATATTATTTTATAACGTACTTATTATAATTTTTTCGATTATTTAAAGTTATTTGTGCCAAGGTATTAAGCCTATTCATACGATCTTTAATCTGACCTTGTTGTATTGATTAGTAGAATGGTTAGTAGAATTGGATGCATGAAAAAAGAAAATAAACAGTTACAATATTTAAGGCTTACCCTAACCTTGCTATAACTATATAGCTTTATATATCACCTAGATATAAAAGTATAAAATATAGTAGATAACGTTTATTTCAAGTTCAATTAGTCCATTGAAATGTTACATTTTTTAGGCCTTACCTTGCGTTTTTAGAGGACGCAATTTTATTTTTTTGATGTGTAGAGGGGGTCAGTAAAGCTAAAAACAAGTTTGTGGGGTCGCCACCCTTGTCCCACGCCGCCATCTTGGAAAAAGGGGTCCTAAAACCGTTTTTGGCTATATCTCCTAAACTTCCATCGTACTAAAACTTGTAAAGAAATTTTGTACAAATCCTGTCCTAAATTTGTCTTTGTAACTTTTATCATAAATTCAAAAAGTTATAAGTAAAAAGTGAAAATTTCCTATTTCTAAAGTTGACTAGGTGCGTCAATGCTCATGACAACCGATCAAACACAGTTTTACCTTACTTTTAAGATCTCTCGTTTATTTTAAACAAATTTTCCAAATATTTTTTTTTATTTTTTTATATTCCTACAATTTTACTTATTGGTATTCCTAGTAGGCCTATTCCACAGACAACTTGCTGATATGGTAATCTTCGACATAATTATATTATCAATCAGTTATTAGAATGGTAGCTAGCTATCACTTTTTTATTTATAACTTTTTGAATTTTGGATTTATGATAAAAAGTTACATAGACATAATCGTAGACACAGCGATTTGCTACAAAATGTGTCTTTACAAGTTTTATGTACGATTGATAGTTTAGGAGATATAGCCAAAAACGTAGTTTTTGGACCCCTTTATCCAAGATGGCGGGCGGCGGGGACAAGCACGGCAACCCCACAAACTTGGAGTTAAGCCTGTATTGACCCCCTACATGTTCCATAAATAAAATTGCGTCCTCTAAAAAACGCAACCCCAAATGTAACTTTTCAATGGACTAAATGTTGAGTTCTCGTACCGTGTGCATTTAATTGAGAGAGCACTTACAGAATTACTCGCTCACTCATTCACTCACTCGCTCACTACCTTCAATTTCACCGCTCTTGTGCCATTTCCCACCAATTAGCCTTCAACTGAAGCAGGCTCTCCTCAACTCTGTCGATATAGCGATACTGATACTGGTCTCCGACCACTAGATTAGAGATACTTCCTTTGCTACCCGATCTTGTCCCATCGGACCAAGGTAGTCAAAGTCAAATTAAATTATCAAAAAATTGCAAATCCGTAACAGTTTCAAATAGTCTGGCAGAATTTTTACCAGTCGTGACGCATCTAGTTCTATATGGTAACTAATTTATCTACGAACGTGAAATTATTATGAATCTGTGTAAACATAGATATCATTACCATAAATCGTAGGTATAACTTTACGAGCTTTTAATTTAAAACCAATTCCAAATGTTAATTACAAAGTAATAGACTTTCTTGACAAACGTTTTTTGTTCGATAAAGTTAATGGAACTTTCTAAGTTAAGGTGTGATAAAGGGCCGATAAAAATACGGTTTGTGTTAAGATATTTTCTTTATGTATTTACGTGAAGAAAATTAATCAAATTGTTTTTTTTTTCAAAACTATTTTAAATCTTTTTCAACATTTCTACTTTGTACCCGAAAATTTTAAAATTTATGCTGAGGTAAAAACAAATTTATTTATCGTATTGATAAATTAGATATTATCTTAATTATATATTAAAATCGGCCCTCATTGTTTCTAATGTAATTAAGATTTCTAATGGTATCTTGATTGCATACAAAATTCATTTATTCACAACAATTGAATGGTATTGCCATAAATCTGTCAATAATTATGATTCGTTCACGATTGTCGATATAATTGCCATATACATACATTTTAATTGACAAGCCTTAATGGTTATGATGACTTGAGGTTTTAAGTGCCGATCCTAGAACAGGAAAACCTTTGCACTGTACCCGAAGATTTAAGACCCGTATTCCAGAACACAAATCTACTTTCAGCAGCTGTCAAACTATCTTTCTGTATGAAGTTTAAGTTATTCGACCAACGACGGACGAGAACGAGCCGCTCTTTCAGTGTGGGTAAACGGAACCAATAATCCAATTGATGTCTTTAAAAATTATACAAAACTTTATTTTAAAAATGATCGATTTTTATCTGTATTAATGTAATTTTAGATCACTACGTGCTACTGTTGATGACCTTAATAATAGTGACTGCCCAATAAAATAAATACATATTACCAAAATCAAGTAGTCGGTAGATGTTCGAGGTGCGAATGCGCTAACTTACTATACAGTTCCGCTTTATTCAATATTTGAAACACCCACGGTATGTAACAATAAGTTATTTGACAGTATGGGATATAAAGTGTTATTAAGAGTAACAACACTGCATAAACCGTGGCTTTAAAATGCCTTATGGCAAACTTTACTTGTAAATAATCATTAAATTATCAAAAAACCCCTAAATAAACATTTTGCTTTTTATACGTCAGTCACGTGTCAATTATCAGTCATTATTAAGATATACAAATTCCAAATTCAAAATCGTTTTCAATTTCAAACTCTCGTCCAGCTTCAATCAAAATTCGATGCATAGTAAACAAATGACAATCGCCTACTAATTGACTCATTAGCTCGGCCAAAGATGACAGCTTCTCGATAAATATCATACAAACGGTTCTCACGACTAGCGTTGATTTATTTATGGATTCACGTCTTAATACCTCTCACGTTGAGCAACCAATGACTTCAAGTTTTCATGATATAGGTGCATTAACATTTGATTAATACTACGCAAAGCTTCCAACATAATATTTTATATTTATTTTTCCGTAAGGTAACTGAAAAATAAACCTTTTTCACCTATTTTTTACACATACATATGTATCTGCATTGGATCAATCGTTGGCCTAGTTCAAAGGCTTTCTGTTCAAAGAGCTAGAAGATATTTGTTTTTGATGTGAAACATCTATAGCCGCACGTAAAACCGATTTCTGGCGTGGCGACGCATGCCGTGGCGACGCGGCGACGCATAATGTCGATGTTTCACATCAGCCAGGCGTCCTGTGACGGCTCACATTTTTTTTAATAATAAAGATATGTATTCATCTACAATACGTAAAAATAAATAAAACAATATCATACTTGCACAGTCATGCTCCCTTAGCTAGAAGCCCGTTGACCCTAAAGCCTGTCAATAACTTTTTATCAAAACATAAATTTTTACTGTTTTAGCAACTCGTGAGGCAGCATTCACATATGCGATCACATCGGCTGGCGTGACGCACGCACTCAGCACAGCCTGCGCGAGAGGCGATCTACCGGCTTGCGGGTGCTCATCAAATAGGTAAAAATAATCCTTTATCCTGATCCTAAAAAAGAAAGGAATTAAGACAGACCTAAACCTCACTTGGTGGAAGGAAAAAAGGCTAAGGTAGGTCAGGTCTACTAAAAATATGCCCATTTGCACTTCTCTAAAAAACATTGTGCGTGTAGCAAAATGATTGCTACTACAAGATCACAAATTTTCCCCCACCACGCAGTCTTTTTAAGTTACGTCCGATCTATAGCTATAAAATAAATCAGTGGCACTACAACCTTTTTAGGTCTGGGCCTCGGATTTCTGGTCAATCTTATAGGCAAGTAGGTGATCAGTGCTTGACACACGCCGTCGACTGTTTAGGTCTTAGGCAAGCTGGTTTTCTCACGATGTTTTCTTTCGCCGTTCGTGAGAATATCAAATGCATAAAAAGAAAGTCTATTGGTGCACAGCCGGCGATCGAACCTACGAGCTCAGGGATGAAGCCACTAGGCCAACACTGCTCTATACCTACACGAATATAAATATAACTTCACAGACTTCGACAGTCTTTTATTAAATACATACACCAACATATTTATTTTTAAACGAATATGTATTTTATATATTACAAACATTATAATACTAAAAAAATCGACATCTATGAGGATCTGGATCTAGAAAAAACCGTGCATTTGTCCCTTAATGATACAACATTATAATACTTTTAGGAGACGAGCTCCAAGTCCGTCAGATCAGTTCCACTGGGGTGGTTGTGGCGAATCAGCGTACGGCGCCCGGTTCGCTCGTCGATTCCTGGATTCACGGGAAATAGAGGCCGATGCTAGGAGTCTCATGAATCTCCACAATAACCGAGTTGGAAGGAAGGTAGGGGAGGTTAGATTTTACTTTGCACTTCACTTTTGTAAAGAACAGGCGTTAACGACTGCCTTGCGATTCTATACCTCACTTTTCGAACTCTCACAGCGGTTTTGGCAGCGGTGGTCGCGCTCAAATCAGTCGTGAAGTAGTCATTTTACTGTGAAAGTTCGAAAAGTGAGTTACAGAATCGCAGGGCTGTTCTCCGAAGTAAAAAAATACACTTTTTGAGATTATAACGCGTTTTAATTACAAATTTCATTCAGAGATGCTTGCTGTAAGAAATTTTATATTTAAAATAAATCAATGTGTTAATATTGTAAAGGGTATTTTAGTGTGTGATATTTGCATGAATAAAATACAGAAATTTCTGACAACAAAGTTGTCTATTGGGATATTAGCTTCGAATGCGTGAAATGCACTAAGATTAATTACTATAAGTTTTAGGTATTACAATTATTGTACATATTCGTGTAAATAAATCTAATTTATAATATTAATAACATACTGTACCTATTTCTAGGACCTAGTTCAGAACCTTGCGAACACCAAACCCTTTAGTGCCTCGTTTTATCTAGAGTACTAATCTGTCTCTTTTCAACACAGCGTAAATACAATTTGATAGATAGAGACAATATAGTACTTAAGTTAAAACGGTGCAGGACGTCTTCTATGGTATTGTTTAAATATGTAAGCTAATTTAAACTGATCGTATCAAGATGTACTTATCCAGTTAAAAAGATTTACTCCACAACTAAGATCCATTGGTATTGCCAACAGGAAATATATACGCAAACATATAATTTATTAAATGCGTTTGAGTGCATCTTAATGCAATGAGCGTAATTTCTCAAATGCAGTTAGTAAAACAGTAATTCTTTTAGAATTTATATCTACAGTACGATTTTATAACGATATTATGTCAATGCTAACTTTTAACTAAGTTACTTTATTCAATACAAAATTTTTATATTAACTAAATAAATTTTTAACCAATTTCAAAACACCCAAAGGTTTGTAAACGTCCAAGTAGCATAATTGTTTGGTTAATTAGTACGCAATAATTGATGTATGTGTTATTACTTATTACCCATTTCAACAATATTTTATGAATTAAATGCCTTGTCTAATGTATAATGCATATTGAATAAAAGTCACTTAAAAAATATATATTTAACTAGATGATCCGGCAAACGTCGTTTTGCCATGTATATCATTTATAATAAAAAATAGGGGTTGATCGTAGAGGGGTGAAAGTTAGGGGTTGTATGTATTTTTTAATGTTGTATAATAAAAAAATAAAAACAGATATTTAGGGGTGGACTACTCTTAACATTTAGGGGGATGAAAAATTGATGTTGTCCGATTCTCATACATACCCAATATGCACACAAAATTTCATGAGAATCGGTCAAGCCGTTTCGGAGGAGTTTAACTACAAACACCGCGACACACTAATTTTATATATTAGATTTAGTTTAAATTCATTTTTCGTTTGTCGTGTTTGTAGATGGGTCTGTTTCCTAATGTTATTTTATAAATAATGTTACTATATCGAACATATTCGTAACTTAGATTTATACGCCATCGGGCCTTTGGATTTGTTCTGTGAACTAATCTGTTCCCTGTCTGTCTTTTTGTTACCTGTTCTCTTATCTCTTTTAACCGGGTTGTCTGCAAGAGACCGCTTAATTTATTTTATTTATGCTCTCAAACTTCGTTAAAACAATTATGAAAAAGTAAGACTAAAGACATACAAATGTGAAAATGACACGGAAACTAACGAATCATTATCATCATCTATCGCTTACCAGCAGATTCATGCAGGTACCTCGCAATTTTGTAGCGCACAAATCCCGAGGGAATTTTTTGTATCTAAAAAGTATCATAAGCCAATCAAAATATGTATACTGTACATTCAGAGTATTATAGAGTATCACAGAGTGGTATAGAATAACATAAGGGTATCATGATTCATAGGTAGGGAATAAAAAGTTAAGAATAAAATCTTAGCAAACGACTCGGAAAATGTGTTGAAAATGTCCACTGCATATTTAAGCAAATTAAGATTAGATATATTCCTGGTAATTGTTTATTGTTTTCTGATGAAATCAATACACCCTATACATACATTGCTTTAATATTTATCGAGAATCGGAGTCCAATAAACTCTTCAAAGAAACGAGCGAGTGTATAATTTTGAAATGTTACAGCAATTTCTTTAGATGTTCCATGTTATAAATTATATGAGAGCTTTCAATCAATTCAACTTTGATGAGGGACTAGACGTAATAACCACTTGGTTATTCTGTTTACAGCTTCATAACATAGATTTTTCTGTTTAAGAAACATTATTATGATAAAGGGGTGTATCAAAAAATATTAAAGGCTAAATTCATTAACGTGTACGAACAAATAATGAAGGAATTGTAATAACAAGATGTTTTTTCGAGATACAAGTTTTATTGACACATGCATATGGAACTTAAATGCATAAATGATATTTTATTTGTTTCAAGTTTCATTCCTAGTGTAATTTAATGAGAAAAAAATTTATCTTTTTAAAAGAGAAAGAGAAATATATTTAAGGTAATCTATACGTATGAAAACGTAGGGAGTTAAAATTAAAACCGTTTTAAAATGTGTCAAGACTATCATTGATAGCTTTATATTTATTCAATTTAATCAAGATCTGGTACTTAATAATATTATAGTTTCAAAATGATGGTTATAATTTCCCATTTGTATTGTAATTTGTATAGTCGTGGTCCTAATATCGTAATTCGTAGCCACGGGGTCTAATTACATTATTGTGCGAAACGATGTACCGTGTATCGAGGGGGCAATTACCCTGCAGCGATACAAGAGAGCAAACTACGTGGACGATTTAATTTTATTATGGACCTCCCCTAAAGTTTCGTGTTTATAATACGCATAATCGTTTCTTATTAGATATATGATTGAGACTTATATTTTCTAAAGCTTTTGGAGTACGGTCATTATAATTCGATTTGGCTTTGGCACGATTGAATAAACTGGACTCAATTTATTTTTAATTTATAATTGTAATTGTATTGCTTCAACTAAGTGTTATTAAACTAGAAAAAAATATTAATATTCACTCAGAAGACTGTTATACGCTAGTGACTCGTGGGTAACCCGGAAAACATTTACTCTAATGCTAGAAGAAACTAATTACTACGCTATTCGCTATACTAAATCAAAACCTGAACCAAAACGCTCTCTCAAAAATATTTACATAAAAATGTGTTTATATTATACTGAAATGCACATAAATAACAATCCTCTACTATGTTGTTAATAATAAGGTTAATAAGGTATTTATAAATGACCGATTACCATAACATGAAAACGTCCATGTCGTCTTTTTTCGCGCCAACTGCGACTCGCTTCTACAGATAATAATGTGTTTTGTTTTTATCTACAAAAATGTAAAAAGAAACAAAATAAAGGTATACACACATGAAGGTGCACTTTAATCATGTGTAATTCAATTTTATTAATGCTTAACACTTAGAGGCCTTTTGTTACTTTTATCTTTTATTGCTTGTAATGAACATGTAGATTGTAAGCGAATGTAATTTTAATGAGCACGTTTGAAAGCAATTTATAGATGTGTCTTGTAAAGTGAATTACTGGTTCGTATATTTTAATGGATGGCAATCGTGTTAAAAATAAAGGCACAATTTTAAATATGAACACTTTGACCGGCTTCGTCTGCGTCCCAATCTTTAACTTTTTGCAGTTATAATAATTACAAAAAAATTATCAAGGAATCCGAAAATTGACTAATTAATAACGCTGTACTGATATTGTTCAATATGGAAAAAATATATAATATGCTAATGCTAATTTTTATGTTAAGATAATATAACAACCTCGCCTCCCAATGTCTCTAGGCTTAGGTCATTTATACTCGTTTTCCTATTTCCACACAAATATCTAAAGTCGCGCGACAAGACAAAATTAAATCTAAAAAAAAGTTTTAATTTAAACAGTTTTATTTACAGATAGTAAAGGACCTAGTTCGACGCGAGTGCAAATGTCACGGTGTGTCTGGATCGTGTGCTCTGCGCACATGTTGGCGCGCTTTGCCGCCATTTCACGCTGTTGGCGCTGCGCTGAGGGAGAAGTATCACCGCGCGAGACTGGTAACACCCCACCCTCCGCCTGCCACGCATGCACCACAGACGCATTTGGTGATACGAAGGTAGTTTCTTGGGAAATTCTACTCAAACATATATTAAGAGAGTAAAGGCTATGGAAATAAAATTTTGTTGCCAGTACAAATCTGTGAAAGGACTCAAACAATAAAATATTACTATATATAATTTGTTTCTTTGATCTTAATTATTTATAGTCAAGTATGTGTATGTTCACATAATTCACCGTACACATTTTAAGTGAACTAATTTTACTACTGATTGAACAGTGTTATCCTGATATATATCCTAATCCATGCGTTCAAATCCCGGCTGTGCTTGTATGTACTGTAATATAGTACTTGCTCATATGGTCGATGTGTGTCTGCCACAGAAAACAATCTCCTACTAGCCTATAAGGTTTTATGTTCTCCAGGCCAAGACAGAACGCAGGCATTGGCAGGCAACCAAGAAAATCTGAACTGGTTTTCTTGGAACCATCTCCTTCCTACTGTGAAGCAGAACCAATGACAGGCTCCTTTGGGACACATGGGAGACACTGCAATCGAACATCTCGGGGTAATTATTTATGGCTGATGTGTAAAAAATATTAAGTAAATAAATATAATGTTACGAGTACACGTACGTACGTACTCATAAACGTGGCCAAACTCTCTCGCGATGTCCATATTTTTAGTTAGTCTCTAATTTTACAAATATAAAATAAATTAAAATGCTCATTAATGTTATAACAATTAAAGTTATGAATATTTATATTTTTTAGATATTTTCCATTTAGTTAAAAGTAGATATTAATCAAATTTACAGGTGAAGATGGATGTGAAACTCTCTGTTGCGGAAGGGGTTACAACACAATACAATCTGTCGAAGAAACAAAATGTCGATGTAAATTTCACTGGTGTTGTCGCGTTTCTTGCGAAAAGTGTGTAACGCGCACGGAAATTCACGTGTGCAAGTGAACACAAACATTTTTAACGATGGCAACATATGTATCGAATATCGAAATAGTGCACGATTTGGTACTTAACACGATGATTTGTATTAAGTGTGTTTACTAATTATTTGTAGCTACGTAGATTTGATTGTAAAATATAATTTATAATATTATCGATACCTTGAGTATTTAACTGTTATATATTGATACATAATAAGATGGATTTTCCACATTTATATATTCAGTAGTATAATCCCCTGAGGATTTTTTGATGACGATTAAAACATTTATTCCTATTTAAATACTATCGTTATTCATGAAAACTAAATTCTAATAACACCATTCTAACTCAAGTACTCGTTTATCTCTTTTCATCACAATATAAACATAATTAGTAGGAAAGAGGCAAAAGAATTTAGTTTATAAATCAGATAATATTTTTTAGTAATTTAATATTTGGCAACGCTATTTAAAATATCAATTCAATTATTGTGATCTAATGCTTTTTAATTTGCAAGTATCGTTTTTTTACAATTTACTATTTATTCTGAGTTAAAGTATCACTAAGAATTTATATCTTAATAAGTATTTTAAATGTAACTTCTAGAATTAATGTAAATATGCCACCAGTATTTTTTAGGCATGTAACGCGTTTATATAGACTCAGCGGCTTTAAAATATTTCTAAAATAATTATAATTAAAGAATATTGGCTAAATGCTACTCACTCAGCTTCTACCAGCTATTCTTCTATTAAACTTCCACGCATTCGTAGCCATTATTCACGTCAAGAACTTAATATTAACACATTCCATAAAGTAAGACCTAACTTATTTAAACCACCTAAATTGTAATAAAATTTTCACAAGTAGTATCTATATGTTTCATTTACCAAAACAAAGCACCGTAAGTATGTAGTATATGTAACTCTTTTTTAGATCAGTGTTGGCCTAGTGGCATGAACGTTGACCTGTCAACTCTAAGGTTCACTCTTGGCGATTAAAAAGAGTGGCGGAGAGTTTCTTGACAGTTCTTCTCGCCTGCCCTTGACTTGCGAACCTGTAATAAATGTAAATTTAGAATCAATTTAACATCTCTGATGACGTTTATAAGTGTACTTGGTTACCTAGGTATATGAATAAAGTTAGTTTGAGTTTGGTCGTACTCTTTCTATTTCGCTCGTACGGTGAAAGAAAACACAGCGACAGCGTCTGTTAGACGCTGAAAGCTGATCTTGTCTACCAAAATTATCAGAACACAAATGCAAATATCTGAGACGAGATTGTGGAGGTGTAATAGGTTGCAACGCCAAATTCGATTGGAGCTTCCAAACTAACTTTAAGAAAAGGTTTTCTGTGATCATCAAATCAAATAAACTACATTATTTTCACTACTGTTCAATAATACACAAGATAAGGTTTCAATTAACACAATAATTTTAAATCAGAATCGTAGCAACCAGCAAATATGATGTAAACATAATACTTTGTCAATAACAAAGCAAGAGTAATAATAATATTATAACTTGCTTATGATAAGGATATGTTAGTTTTAGCAAAACCATGGCAATTTTAATAAATACTCTGATTAACTTGTCCAATTTCCAATATACGGTCAGATGTGGAAAACAATAAATTAAAGTAGACAGAAGGTATAAATTATTGGATAAAATAAATTCAGACAGCAACAAGTCACCGTATGCTGAGTTATCCTATCAGCAGTAATTCACAGTAAATGGGTATTCCATGCAAATCTTCGATTGGTAATTAGTGGATGTGTCCTGCAATGCTGGCTTGATAAGATCATCAAGCCGTAACCCGTTCCTTACATAAATCAATCATTTAAGTCGTTGTCGAGTATCGTCGTGTACCTTTTGCCTAGCAAGCGACTTCCCTTACTTCACCCTGGATCAAAGTAGATATGAAAAGTGAATATCAGTTAAAAAATAAATGATTAAAAGTTTACAAATAGAAAAGCTTTGAAAGTATTTCTTAAGAATTGAATTTTCGATTAGATGTTGCATACATGGTCTAAACTAGTAAAAGTCATATAAAATGTCATCCGACAGGATAATATTAATTTAATTTAAAGTAAGACCTACCTAAAATAGTAGGTAATTGATAATTACAAAAGTGAACTTTTACAAAATAATTATGATCTTGTCATCGACAACGATATTTGTTTTAATAATAAATCGAAAAAGGTCAAATTCTCAGCGGTTGACGAAGACTTGAAGCCGGTGTGAGATGTTTTTAGTGACGTTCCACGTTTCACATCCTTAGAGCAGCACAGATTTGACGTTGGATACGAATATTTTAAGCTTGATTTCAAGCGTCAACATCCGTGACTGCCATAGAGGTCGAAGTTGTGCGAAGGTTGCTCGGGCCTTGGCAATGCGTGAAGAAATGTCTTCTTCTGTACCTCCCGTTTCAGACCCGACGCTTCCGAGACAAACTAATTTATGAACGCACCCATCCGCAATAGGGTGCGGTTTTCAATTCCAACGCATTCGTTTCGTTTTCCGGGTGTTGATTTTGTTGTTAGTCAGGTGTTCGTCAAGAAGTCTGGCAGATCCCGCCTCGCGTTTCAGGTGGCCCAGCCTGGATTGCTTGTCGTGGTGCGTGCAGCACTCAGCAGACATAGGTCATCGGCATAATCCAAATCCTCTAAGATGTTTGTTTACCCACTCTATTTTGCGGCGCTTGTTCTGATGTGTGCGATGCATAATCCCGTTGAAAACAAATAGGAAGAGTAGCGGCGAGAATAAACAGCCTTGTCGGACGCCCGCGTGCACTTCAATATCGTCTGAGACAAGGCCATCATGAGTTACCACCATTCTACAATTACAGTTCCTGTCTTGAGGAAGTATAGTACAAATATTCCTCTGAAAGTATAGTGCTAGCATTTACTAGGTTAGGTAATTATCTTTGGCGGGACACCAATGTTAGAGAGTCGCGACTATATGCTGCTCCATCTCAGCGTATCAGGTCAGATGCCTGTTCGAGAATGATACGAAGAGTATTAATTTGGTCGGTTCACGAGGAATTAGGCCTTGACGGCTCCAGACAACCTGTCCAAGATAATTCTGCAGAAAACCTTGGAAGGGGCCGAGAGCAAAGTGATACTTCTCCAATTGCTACATTGGCTCAGATCACCTTTTTTGGGCACACTTATAAGAAGTTCCCCTGTCCCCTGTCCTCCGGAAGCTTCTCGCTGTTCCAGATATTGCCTATCAAAGGTGTCAGCGTGTCGACGGTGGAAGCCAAGTCCGCTTTTAACATTTCTGAAGTTATTAAGTCAAGATCAGGCTTTTTTTTTTAATAGTCCGAAGAGCCATGACTGCTCTCGCTACTTCATCACGCGTAGGTGATTCGTCATTGATGTCAAGTGGCCTGGGTGGTGGAGATGTGTCTTCAAGCTGAAGGCTTAGTGACGTCATATCTTCTTCCAGCCCTACCAGGAGCGGTGGCTGGTTGCGCGACCGCAACCTTGAGGCGTATTTCGGCAACAACCAGATAGTGGTCACTGTCAATATCAGCGCCTCTACGGTTTCGGAAATGTTTTTGTTAAAATAACTAATTACCATCGTAGAGAGTATAAAGTACATTATATAGGATATATGATAGATAGGTAGAGAGCTTGTAAGTTGTAACTGAACTTTTCCAGATTATAATGTCACATAATTTGACAGTTCAGGGATAGATAAGTATATTATATAAAATGCCAATTGTCAAGTTAAAAAAAAATTTGACAATTGGCATTTTATATATCTACTATCGTTTCGATTATTTTGGTCTTCTATTTTAAAAATGCTGTGGTAATCTTTCGTTAATTCGTTTAACGATAAGTAATTGGTTAGGCTTAAACACGTTGGATTGATTATTATACAGAAAAATGTCTGAAAGTCTTGAATACTATCAAAACCAAATTCTCTTGGCTAGAACAGAAATAAAAAATCTAAGGTAAGCTTATTAATATTCCACTGTAACGGAATTTACTTTACATTCAGATGCCTGAGGCATCTTTCTCATTGAATTACAATATATTGTAGATTCTAATATTAGCTACTTAAACTACCTGACAAAATTGGCGGGTCTTCCCTTCAAATAACAATAATATGATATTTTATAACTTTCGTTTATGTCATAAATTAATAGCAATCATGACGAAATTTTCTAAATACACATAATTAAAAGAAATTGTATCAGAAATAAAACTGTGCCTACTTTGAAAAACTTTGTGTGAATTTACAGGCAAAAGCTGACGGCACTTAAACATGAACACAGTAAAGAAATAAAAACTGTCAAAACTATGTTGAGTGGATTTCGCTGTGCCAATTGTATAGAAACAGGTAGATTAATAATTTTTTTTATTTGTTTAAAATAGTTGTCTTCAGATGTTGGGATCTCCATGAAACTAAATATATATCATATAATAGTAATAACATAAACAAAATTTACTTTATTTCAGCAGCAACATACATTTCTAATCAACAAAGTCAAGATACACCATCACCATCAGAAGACATCTCATATTCTCCAATAGGATATATAGAAACAACCTTTGAGAATAAACGTGCCGTACCTCGACAGCCCTCAGTTTTATCCAAAGCTAAAGGTGTGGTTGTTATAACTACAGACAAATTTAATAACCCTGAACATGCAATAAGTGGCTTAGAAGAGTTTTCACATATGTGGTATGTTTTATGTTACTATAGTTAAAATAGGCTGTATCATTTTGGTTGATACCAGAGATATAGATAATGACTATAAATTAGAATAAAATATACTTAATACTGCATAATGTAAATTCTAATTTGTAAATGGAATTTATAAAGATATTCTTTTAATTATATAATTCTTAAATGCTATATTTGTGATATATCTGTCTTCTGTATATTTTATATACAGAAGACATTCTCACATTTTCTCTAAATCTTAAATCAAGGTAATTGTTAGTTAGAAAGTAAGGTATTTTAGGTAAATTCATACAAAACATGTGTCACATTTTAATTAGCCACATTTTATTTGTTAGATACTCATTATCCAATTTTGACTTTTATGTTCATTGTAGGTCAGTGTAATAATGTCTCTACAGGAGATTTTTCTACTCTAATTTAATTATTTTTACATACAAATATAGCATTTTCTTTGTGTGTAATGGATAAACACCAAATATATCTATTTAAAAAGCTGAGTCTAATGTCACTCAAGAATAATATAGCTTACTATTGAAAGAAATTTCAACATCAGTGCCAGATATTACATCCTACAAACAAACTCACAAACTATGCTATATTATTTTTATTTATTTGAAAAATAATGCAATTTTGGGGATGGTCTATTTGGTGGAAGATGGTATGGAAGGAATTTTGAAAATCAAAATATAAGTAAATCGGTTCTCTTTATTGTATTCCTTGCAATAGGCATATATGTTATAATATGTTTCCTGAAAGACATACTACAAAATGGTAATATATCAACATCTACCTTTGTGGGACTAACAATTATAGTTTATATTTCAGGATACTATTCCACTTCCATTCAACTGCAAGTACAAGTCCGCCACCTAAAATCTCGCCACCACGTCTAGCTGGTGAGAAAAGGGGAGTGTTTTCCACCAGGTCCCCACATAGGCCTTGCCCTATAGGTCTATCATTGGTTAAGATACATAATATTGAAGGTAGATATTACTTGTCTCGCCCACCCTACTGGATTGTAAAATTAAAATTTCGCCTACCCTATTGCATTAATGCACAAACCTGGTTCCCAAATCTGATATTGTAAAAGAATATGATTTTTTTTCTAAAGTAAAGGCCAGACTCAATAATATTTTATGTATATTTCAGGAAACAAAATTACTTTTCATGGTGTGGATATGATTAATGGCACACCAGTTCTTGATATAAAACCATACATTCCACAGTATGATTATCCAATACAAACATTTTCATCCATCTCCTTGGATCGACCACCCACTGAAGGGACAAGTGATACTTTGGAATTAAATAATTTACAGATAAACAGTGCAAGGTAATAATTATAAAAATATAATACTCAATAATTTCTGCATTTCTCTAGAATTCAAAATGCCATTATATGGTACCATAAACGTAATTATAAATAGGTTGTTAATAAATGCAAGACTTTTGTTGAAATAGATTTATTCAATGATATTATTGATTATATAAAGTACATACCAAGTTATATTATAACTTGGTATTTTAGTACTTATAATATATTTGTTTGACAATCTTAAGTTTTATAGTACATTAAACATTAATTAGTAATTTCATTTTCAGACCCAGCCCCCGTGTCGAAAACCCCATAGGTGGTGATACTAATTCTCTTGATTCACCATTTGATGATGAAATACCCTCACCCATTCAAAGCATATCAGCTGCTGTTTCACCATTAAGCACAAATCGAATTGATCAATCTCCTGTACATAGGGGAAATCCAGATGGCCAAGAACGGTTCACTCCTCCTCAAATGATCATTAACCATAGTGATTGTATCAGAGTACCAAATTGGATAACAAACCCTATATCACAAACATATAATGTCAGATTTACAGATGAAGCGTTAGAAAGACTTAATACATTGATTGGAGATAGGGCAGTGAGTTTTAAGACTAGTATTGAAAATTTACTTTCAGATGATCCAAGGTCTTTGTATGTAAAAACTAAATACCCTGACCATGAGTACAGCTGTGTACTAGAAGATTTGTCTATAAGTTGTGTGTTTAATTCTAATACATCTGTGTGTACTATAGTAGCAGTAAGAAATGCTGAAGATTTGCAGAATTGAACATTTAAGTAAACTTGTGTCTTATAAATAAATTGATCTTTCATATGAGATTTGTTTTAAACATAATACTTACTAAATATTTAACCTTAGTTTAGCATTTGATTAAGATTATTAGAATTTAGAAGATGACATTTGTCAATACTCATTTATATAATAGGGAGGTTATACCTGTTACAAAATAATTAAACCTAAATTATTATTTTAAGGGATAGACATCAAAGGCATTACTTTTTATAAAATAACATATGTTTTCCTGAACCAAAATCCCCAACAGTTTTCGTTGCAATAAATTCAATGTATCTGAATCGAGCATTCAGATCAATGGTTTTAGTTTTACTGCTGTGATTAAATCTTATAATTTCTGATAGAGACGACCATTCCTCATTATTAATAGAATATTTATATTGTAGTTCAAGGAATGTACCATTACCTGCATCACCTCTTGGAAAATAATCAACTTTAGCAACATCATACACTTCATTTAAGTCAAACTTTAGCTTCAATGGCTCAGATTTTGCTTGGCCTCTATCAGTCCAGTGTGTATGCCAGATCTTAGCTGGATTTGTATTAACTATATTAAATACTTCCTGGTTTGGTTGACATGGCAAATTGCAAGTTACCTTCACTCCTGGAATAATATGTTTAAATGGGTCTTCCCGAGTTTTTGCTTTGACTAATTCACTCCAATTTGATGCTTTATTGCTTTTAACTGACCGAATTTTGAAAGCATGTTCTGTATCACTTGTAAATGAATCAAAAGTAAATTTTGTATCTGTAATATTTGTAAAAATTACACCATCTCTTAATACTTCATAATAGTCAATATGTTTAACTAAATCCCATTCCATTGTTACACTTGTTGGTGTTGTGTCGTCGGTATCTACTCTTAAGCATGAAGTTTCTAGATCTGGATTGATTTCATCTATTTTACCAAATATTTGTTTGAAACCCTCACATGAATAATCCCTAATCTTTACATTTATTTCAGTAGAAACAATATCTACCGTTTCTATTTTTATCAGCAGAAACTTTTGGCCTCCATTGCTAAATTCTTTCATGAATGGATTTAAAAAAAAGTTTTTTGTGAAACAAAAACAATTTACGCCCTTATTAAACATTTCCTCTGTGTGTACTTTTTCAATTGTTAAATTTTCTCCATTTACAGCGATTTTCATATTGGTTACATTTTTAGAGGACATTATTTGCAATATGGTTGTTCGTTCCTTAATCATACCTTTATAATCTCCGTTGGTTTTTCCTATTTTAATTAACAAATCCCCAACTGAATTAGATTTTGGGCCAATTACTGTAATTTCTGTGCTTGCATTTTGTCCTTCCAAATACTGTGTCGATATGCCATCGTCTTCATATGTTACATAACTGGATTTCCCATTAGGATAAATGGTATATATCCTGTTTTCTCTTTCTACCTCACAAGGATTATTATTTGGATTCGTCATTGGAATAATTGACCCATCTTTGATAAATACTGGTATTTTCCATAATGGCGTGAGTATGTTGTTGTAAATTTTTCCACCTTGAAACCTCTCACCCGTAAACAGATCTATCCATATCTGTCCATCATTCGGTAGATATACACCATCACGCACTGAAACATCTCCGAGTTTTTTACTATTGTAAATGGGAGCGACGAGAATATTTGATCCCCACATAAACTGATATTTTGAGTCATTTGTATATGATGAATTTTCATTGGGATATTCCAAAAACATACCTCGTACCATGGGTAACCCCTGTGTTGCTTCATACGCTAATGAATAGTTATATGGCAAAAGCATTGCCTTAAACTTCAGGTATGCTCGATTAATAGAGGTTGCTTCTTCATCAAAACTAAAAGGACTTTTAGGAATCCGACCCCACCCATCCATATTCAACTGAAGGGGTGTAAAAGACTTCCATTGGTAGTCTCGTACATTAACTTCCCTTAAATCTCCTCCATAAATACCATCCATGTCAGAACCTACAATCGGCATCCCAGAAAGGCCTGAACCAACATAAGTCGGAATATGAAATCGAATATATTCCCATTGCCCTCCAGTTTGGTCCCCACTCCAGATTCCTGAATGTCTTTGTGTCCCAGCCCAACCATCTACCATGATGATTAGGGGACGTCGTGTTGTATTTTTGACAAATATGCGAGAGGCGTTCTCTACAGCGCTAAATGCAAACGAGTACCCGCTACCTATCCATGCAACATCACATTTGAGAGCTACTATGTTTGCTACACTGACTTCTTTAGCTAAATCTCTATCACCTTTTTTGGGATTGAGAAGATCAATAGGTTCCAAATTAGACTCGGTCCAAAGCGCAACCTCAACACCATTAATTGCTGCGTAATCTGAGAATTGTTTCAAATTATCAATATCTCCTTCTAATGTATCAGTTTGGCCATAGCCAGACCCATAACCATCATTCGGTATAAACCAACCGAGAGGCATATCATGCCTCTTGTATCTGTCTATCATAGCTCGCGCTGAAAACTGATAGTTGTCTTTTTCACCATTAAGTGATTCCAAAATTCCTTGTTTACCATCCATGTCTTTAGGCTGATAACATTTATAATATTTTCCATCTTCAAACAAAATAGCGCCACGGGTGTTAGATGTAACCTCCACCCAATAATCTCGATTAAAAGCATTTAGATGCGCCTCGTAAAATGCATACTCGGGCATCATTAGTGGATTTCCTGTTAACTCATAATAATCTCTTAAAATGTCTCTAGGTTTAGAGTTGATAAAGAAATATGCATCAAAATCAATTCCTTCGTGACTTGTTTGTATGATTTCATTAGAATATGCTCCGAAATCGTACAAACCGGGTTGCCAAGTGTTTCTTAGGACACCGTAACCTTGCGTAGACCAATAGAATGGGCACGGGGATGTTACTCCTCCATCAACCCAATTATTAGTATTTACAATATCTATTACTTCCTCTTTATGAGTGAAGCGACCGTTCTGCATACCTCCTCCAAAGAAATACTCATCAGGGCTTTGTGTTATTGTTTGTGTACAACTATGATCTTCATACGATAAAGAATTGAATTCATTAAAAACATCTTTATTTTTCCGAGAGTCGTGTATTGCCATTGTTCCGCTTATCTTATCGAAAATAATATTTATATCTTCGGTTTCTACAATATAATGTGATTTTGCATCCCGTAGTGTAGAGTTATTAAATGCGTCATACCCGTAGCTGTCCTGATTCTTTTCAACAATCTTTGCTTTGTCGTCTGGGTTATGAGGTTTCGGATAATCTAAGAACTCTCCGGTGGGCGACATGTAATACCGAAACACGTGTGCATTAAGAATATACAACCTGCCACCTTCTCCAGATGAATACTTTAAAGAGTAAAATTTGATTTGTTTTTCTATATTATCAATACCTTTTATTGTTTTAGGTAAGTGTCCTCCACTGGTGCCCGCCATATTTTTTTTTAATATTTGTTGATATAACTGTAAAACAATATTTTTTGTATAAAATTGTAATTACATACATATATATCTAGAGGTCTGGCGAAAATTCCTACTAGAGACCTATAGCATCAAAAGTATTTTTTTTACGTTGACCACATGTTTGATTAGGTATTTGCATTTTTTATCAAACAGCTGAATATTCCATCAGTCTAATTTAACCCATTATATAAAAAGCAATCAACTGGCACATATTATGTAGATCCTATTCTTGTTTAAAATATATAAATAAATTTAAAACAGTTTTATTTTATTTTCTATCAAGAATAATTGGTACATTCTGCACCTAATCGTTTACAAAGTTCCAACCCCATCTGGACTAATAGGTTCATAAGAAAAGGAAAAATTTGAATGTTGTATGTTGGTAACGAATAAACTCAAAACTACTGGACCGATTTAAAAAAATGCTATTGTAAGAAAGGCTATATTTATTTTTTATTTCCGTAATATTTTCAAAATAAATGTCCAGCCGGGACAGACATTTAATAATATAATTACTAGCTAATATAGACTTAAGATTACTTAGCTTAGTAGAGAAGTTCTACTTAACTTACCTACTTAATAAATTCAGCCCACGCACGTAAAAACTCTACTTTTAAGTCATCAGCGTCTGGAAACAATGACCGTCTCCAACCGACTATTCCATATAATACCGTGTCAAATACCATTACAAATATGCTGTCGATGAAACGTGTTTACATTTATTATACTTACTGTTGTACAATGTACATAAGTTAGACGTACCGTAATCACAGTCTATGGACACATACGTTACAACAGCCGCAAATACATGGAGACAGTCATTGAACTATACAACACTATTGATACATGTCGTGAGTCAGATGAGTGTTGTTGTTTGAGATGGTCTTTGCAAATTGTAATCCAAGCGGTTTACTGATTTTTATCTCTTAAACTACATTTTGTTCTTGTGATATTTGCAGACATCCAATATTTAATACACAATAATTATAAAGAGACTTGTTTTAATGATTGTATTGGCTAGCGGTTCGTTTTACCTAATTTTAATAAAAACATTCTACCACTAGAAGTTCAATATACTATTCTAGCGTACATAAATGTATTATCTGTGTCCTCTTTTTTTTCATTATGCCTATAATTATTGTTATTGTAAAAACTAATTAGTGTGGCCTAAATTTACTGCGTCACAATTTACAAATCTAAAGTATTCTATGTACTTATTTACCTAACTAATAATACTTATAAAGTACTTATACGTACATACTCATTATAGATTAGAAAAAGAGATTAAATTAAGTGTTTTTTTATTATTAAATATGAAACATTTATTATGTGGCAGCAATTATTTTGAACGTAATGTATTAATTAAATAACTAAGGTAAGTATATATATATATATATATATATATATATATATATAGTTAATCATTATTATACTGGTGGTAAAAACTATATAAAATAATAATTTTATTGTAACTTGTAAAAAAATTAACCTAACATATACAATGTGTAATTGAATAAAATTATATATGCGATGAAGTTAACATCACCATTTAAATAATAATTAACAATTAAACCTACTAAAAATTAGGGATGTAATTTTAATGGAAGAGAATCGATTAAATAAAAATCTATTTTATTAGAAATAAATAATCGATTTCTTCGAAAAATCAATTTTTCTATTTTTTAAAAATAAACATGCCTTTCATATTCCAATAATAAATCTAAAAGATTCATATAAAATTTATTAGGTTAAAAATCAAATAAAACGACATGAAAAAAAAGTGCGTGCATACAAAGTGAAACTTCTTTTTAAATTATTTATTACTAAGGTGAAAGCCCCAATAGATGATCATGTACCAGTATATGATGTGACAGAATTGCCATCGAAAATTCAAATATGTAACTACTAAACGAATACATCAATCAACAGCGTGTTGCTTCATGCTACATTCACCGTTTCTCACTCTCTCTCAATCGCTCTCTCCCTTTTCTTCGACAACAACGCTGTACATCTTGGCCCTCGACCGTCGTTTTTTGATAAACAGGTGATTCAGAACTAGCCCCTTCCGAATTATCATCACTTTAGTATTCCAGTTTAAACATTTCTAAGTAACATTTATTGTTTTTGATAAGGGTAAAGGGTCATCAAAATGATTATTTTTTAAATCTAGCATCCAAATACGTTGCAACCACAAAAAGGTGCACTTTTTGAATGTTTTCGAACCTTTTATTAAATAGGGCACTGTTTATGAAAATCGATTTAAATGTTAATTTTAATAATATATGACTATGAAAATCGATAATAAGAAAATAATAATCGATTATTGTTTAACATCCCTACTAAATATCTTTCTATTTAAAGAGTCGTCACGTCACGTCACGTCATATTATACGTTTTTGCATTGTTACCAGGAATAAAATTGTCTGTGTAATAAGGCTTTGTCATTTCACATTTGTACTCTGTAGTAGGTAGCTGTCATTTGTCACTATCAAGTATCAACTTGCTCAATCAGTATATAGTTTTGCATTTTTGTTTGTCATTCTTGTGAATAGAAAACTTGAAAGTTTATGAGTTGCTGACGAAAAGTAAAAAGCCTTAATCAAAAGTCTTCAAACACGAAATTAAAACTAAACCAATGTAAGTACATATTTTTACTTCCAAAATTAATAATTATAACTCTTAGTAACCTGAAAATACCGGCTTGCAGATGTTTCTTACGCGTTCAGAGTACGATCGGGGTGTTAATACCTTCAGCCCTGAAGGTAGGCTGTTCCAAGTTGAATATGCTATAGAAGCCATTAAGTTGGGTTCCACTGCAATCGGCATTTGCACTTCTGAGGGTGTTGTATTGGCGGTTGAAAAAAGAATCACATCACCTTTGATGGAGCCGACAACAATTGAAAAGATCGTTGAAGTAGACCGCCATATCGCATGTGCTGTTTCCGGGCTTATGGCTGATTCAAGGTAATACTAAAGTAGTACCTTACATTCTTTGTCATTTTCTAGTGATGTACATAATAGTTTTTCATTTGATTGTTTTAGAACATTAATTGAACGAGCTCGTGTAGAATGCCAGAACCATTGGTTTGTATACAATGAAAGGATGAGCGTGGAGTCATGTGCCCAGGCTGTGTCCAACCTGGCTATTCAATTTGGAGATAGTGATGATGATAGTGGTACTGCCATGTCTCGACCATTTGGTGTAGCTGTTATGTTTGCAGGTATTTAAAGCAACTTTCATTGCCAATAATAATATAATGTTTTTAATCTTCTAAAGGCAGAATTCCCTTAATAAACTCCCCAACTCTGATATTTTTGTTACAGGCATTGATGAGAAAGGACCTCAATTATTCCATATGGATCCAAGTGGTACGTTTGTTCAGTATGATGCTAAGGCAATTGGCTCAGGAAGTGAAGGAGCTCAGCAGAGTTTAAAGGTTATTTCAAGTTTCTGATTTATCAGTTAACTGATAGACCAGTGTCGATAATTTTTGAAACCTAAACAAATAATAGTAGGATGAAACCTATTGAAAAAGGAGGAGAATATTATAAAAATTAAAGGAAAAATAATTTACGGGCGATCTGAGGTCTGAGTTTTAAGGGTAAAAAACGGTTTATCTCGATTTCCGGCAAAACTAAAAGTCTTATAGAAGAAAGTTAAATGGCAAAGTTGTAGGTAATAAAAAGATCTAAAACTTTTGTATTTACACTTTTTTCACATAACCTCAAAATTTATGTGAAAAATTCAAAACACCAAGTTTTTGGTTTTTTATTTTTATCTTTTACAAAAAAAAATTTTTTTAAACGAAATTTGGTAAAAACTTACCTTTCTATGTCCCAAATACGCTGTAATTTATTTGATTAAAAATATTTATTTTTTCACCTTATTTTGAATTACCTACTTCTCTAGTAAGTAGGGAAGGGGATGACGGGTCTGGGCGTTACTGCATACGATTTTTTGCATTTTCTGAGATTTACTATGGTAATATATATATATTTTTTTACCATAGGAAAGTAGAGATTTCAACGAACTGAAAACACACCAACTTTTTGAAAAAAAAATATATTTTGACGGGTGAATTTTCGATTGAAAATTAGGGTGTTTTTTCGATATTAATTCAAAATAAGGTGAAAAATAAATATTTTTAATCAAATAAATTACAGCGTATTTGGGACATAGAAAGGTGTAAAAGATAAAAATTAAAAACCAAAAACTTGGTTTTTTGAATTTTTCACATAAATTTTGAGGTTATGTGAAAAATGTGTAAATACAAAAGTTTTAGATCTTTTTATTACCTACAACTTTGCCATTTAACTTTCTTCGATAGGACTTTTAGTTTTGCCGGAAATCGAGATAAACCGTTTTTTACCCTTAAAACTCCCCCCCTCCCCTTCCCGACCTCAGATCGCCCGTAAATTATTTTTCCTTTAATTTTTATAATATTATCCTCCCTTTCCAATAGGTTTCATCCTACTATTATTTTTTCACTTTTTATTTTTTTTAAAGGCTATCTGCACTGGTCTATGACATAACATAGTATAAACCTCATAAAGAATGTAAAAATTAACATCTGAATCTGAATTTTATTTTAAATTAATAGTTTTTCAGTGTTTATAATAATAATACATTTAACTTATAATATTACTTTAAATATGACTTTATATTTATATATTTGTGTCAGGTAGATAATAATCTTATAAATATTTAATCTTTTTATATTTTTAGGAGGTGTACCACAAGTCCATGACACTTAAGGAGGCAATTAAGTCTGCATTGACAATTCTAAAGCAAGTAATGGAAGAGAAATTGTCAGAGAGTAATGTGGAGGTTGTCACTATGACTCCAGGGTCAATGTTCCACATGTTCTCCAGGGAACAACTGGCTGAGGTTATTAAGGATATACCTTAAGTAGAATAGAATAGTGGTTGGGTTTATTAATAAATGTTAAGAGAAAAATTTTGCAAAAAGGAGACATACCATCAGCAGGAGGTATAGAAAATAAAAAAAAAACTAGATTGGCCTATTTATATAGCTTGCAGTAAAAAGTGAATTAATCTGTCTGCTCTACTTGGCACTATTTTTCTTCAAAGATTTCCTCTTTTTATTGCTAAATGCCCCACTTTGTATCTGATTAAAATTATTACCAATAAACTCAACCACATTAAGTCTAGTTAAAGTTGTATAGGAAAGTAATATTTTGAATTAATAATTTTTCAGTATTTTTACATTTTGGAATTTTATGTATCACAGTGGTATCATAGAAAGGTAGATTGTATTTTATTATAGCTTGTTTTTGCCGTATGTATTTTGTCTCTCATGTAGAAAGATGGTTGATTGAAAATATTATTTTGGGTGGTTTCAAGAACATGATTAAATGTGTTTTTAAATAAAGAAAATATATTTCATTTGTTGTGTATTTATTTATATTATATAGTGTATAAATCTAAGTACGTAAGATTCTTTCTGTTTACCAGGCCATTAATATTAGTAACCCATACATGTTGTAGTAAGCTTCTATATGAAGAGAAATTAGTACATAAATTAACAAATTCATTGTTGTTTGTATACAAATCTTCTAGAAAATGTATTTCAACAGTATCAGTTTAATAAGAATTTCAGTAGTATATAATTCAAAGGAAGTAGCAAGTCGTGTAAATTAGGACTACTTAGTTATTCTGTTATATTTAAATTTTAGGTTTTTGTTTCACTGAATTTTGTTCAAAACAAATAAATATAATTTTATAGATTGCAAAACTTTTGATATATATCTCTATCAATCTTTATTTGCTTCAGGGGACATAGAGTAGTGATAAAAAAATCTGAGACTAAAAATAAACTAATTAGTAACGCTATATATAGGGATAAATTTTCGGTTCCGCATATAATTTTCACTCTACCGCCTATACAATATTTAAAGACTATATAAAGTATTATGTTATTTTGAATCCAAAAGTGAAGTGTGAATGAGGCTTATATTGATGAGCACCCAAAACAAATTGTCTCCGTTCAGTAGATGGTTATTATACTTAAAAAAATAATTATAGATGATTGCGGCAAATCCTGATCTCCAATGGAGTGAGTCAAGTTCTAGAAATACTTTGCAAGACTTCTCCCGCCTAAGAATTTCAGGGCAAACTGCTTAAATTAGCTTTGAACTACACTTTTATTTTTAGCTTGTCAATAAAGATACATTTCTGACGTTAACATTTATTTATATATGTATTCCCCCTAATAATGCAATAATAAACAGTAAATTCATTAAATTTAAATAAATAAAATTAATTTTGTCATAGTTTCTTTAAAACTTTAACCTATGCCACACCAGTTGTGTCAAATAATTTTTATAATGTGCACTCTAATAAAATTTAAGTAAGAGTTAAACTAAACAGAACCATTTAGGAACAATAGGGCATTATTTTCCTCTTTTGTGGTAAAGCTAATAATTTTGCAGAAATTTATTACAAGATTGGGATGGTCTACGAAAGTCTCGAAAATCTAGTACATAAACAACTAATACATTTAAAATGCATTTATTTATATTAATAAAAAGTAAATCAGACCTTGAGGCACAGTTTAAATAACAGTAACTTAATTATAACTTATATTTAAAATATGCATTTAAATACAAAAAGTATAAATTCAATAAAACATAAGATTACATAATTTATACATTTGTAGTGTAAATGCATTGTTAAATTTTTAAACACTTCTTTTCAATGACGAACAAGTGGAATATTGGAGGAAAATTAATAATAAGTTGATTTTGGTTTTTGTTCTACTGAAATCATCTAAGCTAAACAAGTAAATATATAGATATATACTTTTGTAAAAATCCAATGAATTAATTTATTAGCTATTTTCGGATTTGCCCTAAGTTTTATAATTGAGCTTTGTCAAATCACTGTGATATACATAACTATATGCACTGCAATAAAAATGATTTTTATTATAGGGAAATTGTTTAGCATGAATAATCGTTTACTAACTAACAGTAACCAATTTTGCCAAATACGCTCTAAATCAATGGGGTCCAATTAAGGCCAAACATTCCACTGGGACCCAATTCTTATCAACAATAACATAGAAGTTCATTTAATAAAATTAAAGTGAACCACTTCAGAAATTAAACACAAACGTATAAGCATAGTCACCATTCACTTCGATCTTGCGAAGACATCAAATCTCAACGTTTCCTTTTATTAATAAATTTAATTATATCTTGTTCTGAACCTGGCTCTTGGCTGTTGAATTGATTGCAGGAAAAGCTAAAATTCTAAATTATCTTTACTTTTAGAATTGTAGGTTCGTAAAATTCGTTTAATTGATCGTAATTTTTTCGGTCAACCCGCATTGTGAGCCTACGTTCACTATTAAGAGGACATATCCCTTATATTTTTCAAGTTTTATATTTCTGCCATATATGTCTCGACGGTCGAATTCATAGAACCTGAAGTGGCTTTTATTGGTTCCGGTTGAGGGATTCCATTATGATTAATTTGCTGAAATAAGAGAAATAATCGACTATTAATCGAAAATTTTAAATAAAGTAAAATCGCGAAGGATCGTTGGGCACCTAAGACTGTCTTAAAGATAGGGATGTGAAAAAATAATCGATTTTTTTTTATATCTAAAATAATCAATTATTTTTAATATTGGAAAATCATCATAATCGATTTTTTATCTGCCACCTCCCGACAGTTATGTCCGTATTTAGCCTAACCTGGACCTCGAACTCAATGGGGGCCACATTCGGGCCACAACGATGTTTACACTGGGACCCCATTCTTATCAAAATGAAACTTAGAATGATGTTCCATTTAATAAAATCTCCTAGTGAACCACTTCGAACCCTTTTCAAAAACTTCCACAAGGGATGAGCATTGTCACCATTCACTTCGATTTTTGCGAAGACATCAAATTCAACATTTCTTTTATTAATAAATTTAATTATATCTTGTTCTGAACCTGGCTCTTGCTTTGAATTGACTGAAAGGACTAAATTCTGAAATCCCTGCTTTTAGCAAAATTTATCGTAACAAGATTAGTTTAATTATCGAATTTTGATTATTCGGTCAACGTTAATTTGTGTTACTATAATTTCATATTGTTTATTTTTAAGTTTTAAATTTCATGAAAAATAAAGTCCTTGAGGGTGTTTTATTCATGAACTGAAGTGCAATTGGAAAATTCGATTAATTTTCATAGATTTTTCTTAAGGGAGAAATAACACTATTAAAAAGTTTTTAAATTAAGGAAAATGCGGGTTTCTTGGGGCACCTAAGACTGATCTATATACGAGTACTTAGATATAAATAATATAATAACATTACTAGCCCGTTTGCCCCGTTCTATAAAAAATAAACTTATTTATGCATAAAAAAGTACTTACTTTACACCCCAAAATTCCCTAAAAGTAATAATAGCTTGCAACACATCTTTGGCCAGGATTTTGGGCGACTCAAACGAGGCGAAATGACCTCCTCCATCCACTACTGTTGTATGTAAGTAGTTCTTATATTTAAGCTTTAGGACTATATCGGGTTGAGTGAAAATTTCGTGCTTAAATTTTATACCCCAAGTTGGAGTGCTTGTTGGTATCCTGAAAAATAATAAATCATTAATTTGAATAATGTTGGTAAAATGTCTCCTTTAAGTGTGACAATATTGAAAAAACGATTTTTTTTAATCGATTATTTTTTATGAATAATCGATTAATAAATAATCGATTTTTCTAAAAAAAATATCGATTTTTTTATTAATCGATTTTTCCTAATTTTAATTAATTTTAAAATAAACACCCTAAATTTTTTTTTCCATGGTTTTTAAATTAAAATAAAAATTATAAAACAATTTAACGTTTAAGAATAATCAAAATCAAAATTAACTTAATCTCGTTTTGATAGATTTTTGATAAATGCTGAGCGTCCTTTTCAGTAGCACATTGCAGTATTTTTGTTGTCGTTTTAATTGTATGTAGTCTTGTGCTGCTGAATAAATTTATTTTACTTTTAAATTATAGTGTTCCATTCAAACTTGAGTTTTTGTAAAATTAACTGCTTTTATCATCCTTTTGATGTTTTACAAAAAACACAATGTATCGTGTTTAAATACATCTTAAAGAATCGAATTCAATGTATCGCATTGTAAACATTTTTCAATTTTGAGGTCCGGTTAACCAGTAATGTCGGAGGTGGCAGAACGATACGATTGATCTTCAATTATAAAAATAATCGATTATTAATCGATTATTTTAAATCTTACAAAATCGCGTAAAAAAATCGATTTTTACTTTTAAAAAATCGATTAAAATCTATTTTTTTATAAACAATATGTATAGGTATTTTTTAAAGTTATACTTCTTTAGGCGCGTTATGAAAAATTGATGAGAGTGAAATTTTAAGATGCGCGCGCACCGTGACACAAAATTAACAGAATGAAGTTGCCCACGGAAGATGCTACGGCATTGGACATAATTTAAAAATAACATTCGAATAATAATAGAATTTATGTTACACTTAATGTAAGAGAATAATAATAAATATTTATTTATTTAATTTTTCAAATGTAAACTGAACTTTATTGACTATAATGACTCCTTTCCCAGTCTTTGATCATTTAATTGTAATTAATTATTTGCATGCAAATAAAACTATTTTTAATAATGCCAAAGAAGTATAACTTCTTACGCGCGTACATAAGTACACGCACACATTGGCAATAGTTTTAACTTTATGCCTGTTTCAAGTAAAAGTAAACTACACGCCAGAAAAAATAAACAAAGACAACAAAAGGATAAGCTAGTCATAGCTTTTTCTCATCTTTACTAATCCATACTGCATACTCAAAAATTTAAAGATAAAATTGGGAGCAAAAATTGTATGGAGCTTCTAGTGAAGGAGAATGTATGACAAATACTTACATTTAATAAAACACTATTTTGACCGGATTGAAGTTATGTATTATTATAAATTTACAACTATTTAACATAATTTTAAATAGTTGTAAATTTATAATAATACATAACTTCAATCCGGTCAAAATAGTGTTTTATTAAATGAATAAAAGTTATGTTAATCAAAGACAATACTAAATACTTACATATCCATCCCATATGCTAGTTGTTTCTTACTAAAGGCCTCCGCATACAGTCGTATCGACGTCGTTATGCTATTACTAGCCCAATACACCATTACATTATCCAGTAGATGTGTCAACATATAGTTTGACAAAAGGTTTCCATCACTTGCGTTCCTATTATTAGGGTCTGCCCATGTCGAGAATTTCTCTAGAATATAAGCTGCTAAACCTGCTGGAGAGTCTGTTAGGGCTATGCCTGGAATAAAAATGGTTTGGCGGATTAAAAATCTATGAACAACTGTCTCCACTGACAGCCACTACGTTGACCGTGCTTGCAGTATGGTGTACCACTCGCAAAATGTTGGAGCAGATAATTATTTGACGCTACGATTTAGAGTCGAGATTTTTACGAGTTAGGGAACGTACCGAACGTTTTTGCGACCCCTCCCTCCCCTCGGTGACCATTCGTAGTATATGCCAAGACCCCTCTCTCCCCTTTTGTTTTCACGTAGTAATTCACAATTATGATTTTTAATCATTTCACAGGCGAAAATTGAAAAAAAAAATATTTGGCTCATACTCGTCTTTATTGCATAAGATTGCCTGCATACTTAAATTACTAGTGAATTATGTATTATTAAAAAGAACAACATTTGTGAAAACATATTGCTATACAGTATGTAACTTACAGTAACTTAATTTACGAACACAACAATTATTATTGTTTGTTTAATCACAAAATATAATCATCTCAGTAAAATCGACTACGTGACAAAAACCTGAGCCTGAAAAATTAATTTTCTATTTAATAAATATCTCATATAATCAGAATCAAATAACGTAATGTAAGATAACTTGCATGTCTGAGATAGACAATGCTTTATAGAGATGTTGATGTTCTAAAAAAACTTTGTCTCACCTACTGTATCCGGTTTGGTTGCATGTAGGTGCATATAACCAGTTTCTTCTAATAAAAACGATATATGTTTAGTGAGTGGGTATATCCGGTCTTTTATTTCCGGTTCCACTATTAAACTTGGGAAAATTGATCCTGAAAAAAACCAATTATTAGGTAGTTGGATGTTAGAAAATACTTTTTCATAATATAAAAAAATTAAACATAATTAGTCACATGTCATATTTTTCTTTTAGGAAGAAACTCTAATATAAGAATTTTAACTATGAGTAACTTTATACTTTATATCATTTATTAACAGCCAATGCAATCTTACCAATTAGTGTATAAATAGTCCCCATAGGATGTCCAACAACTGGCATATTAGTATGGAAACCCAAGACTTTATCAGGAAACAAAGTTGCCATTATTGAACCAATTCCATGACCAAAATCACCACCCTGTATATAGTATTTTTCATGCCCAATGTGTTCCATCAAATTTCGCATAACTACAGCCATTTCTAATGGACCCATGCCTGGTCGAGCAGGAGCCTGTAGACAATAGTTAAAAAATCTAATAATATTTAAATTAAAAAAAAATCATTTATTCATATAGGTAACACCATGTACACTTATGAATGTCATAAAGAAAATATAAAATAAAAAATAAAATATGTTTATTATGGATCATAAGATACATGTATCACTTATTCCACGTCATTAAATTTGAAGGCATCCCTACTCATCGGCAAAGAAGACAGAGGGTGTAGGCCGAGAGAAAAAGCCGGCGTAAAAAACTCTCGGTACTCTTTTAAAACAGCAAATCATCAAACAACACTTATTTAAAACAAATATCGCAAATTAATTAGAAGTAGCCTGTCTAGCACTAGTCCCAGGCCCTTTTATCAACTAGATAATCGTTGACTTTATAGTAAGCCTTTTTACACAGCTTTTCTTTAATACATTTCTTAAATTTATTGAAAGGCAGTGAGCTTACATTTGTCAATAAGTGTTCATTTTTTAAAAGTTTTTTGTTTTACATGAGCTCACCATTTACCATTTCATACATCTTAAGTAATAAATAGTTAATTAATAATAATAAAATAAATTAAAAAAAAGATTTGTCCTCTATACAGGAGGCATGGTGAAATAGGACACTTACAGTCTCTGGAAACACAAATCATAGTCGAAATAACTAACATCACCGCATACACGAATTCAAGTCAGACCAGTCACCAAAGTAGCAGCCATCTATACAAATAATATTAAGATCAAAAAAACCGTAATAAATTTGAATATTAAAATACACTAATTAACCCGACCAAGCCATGCCTACTTGTAATACATACATCAAAAGCAGTAATATTAATAAATATGTAAATATGATTTGCCTGACTAGCAAAATTTATGGTCTAATTGTCAAATGAAATACAGAAAATATTGATCAATTGTACCAGTCATTTAAAAAAGAAAATATATATCATTTAATTTCCATATTTAAAATGAACAACTGGTAGAAAGCTAGATATCCTAATAAATAAAAATTGCTTAATTATTTACCTGTGAAAATCCAAAACCAGGTAAACTAGGTATGATTACTTCCACTGCAAAATCATTTCCTGGTTTATATGCCAACTCTGGTATGAGTTCATAGAACTCTCTAAAGGAGCCAGGCCAGCCATGTAGAAGTAATAAAGGAACTATCTGAAGATAAAGTAAAAGAAAATTACTATAAATATTAAAAAAGTTTAGTAATTATAATTATAAGTTTTATTATACATCATCTTAATATATATAAATTACGTGTCACATTGTTTGTCTGCTATGGAATCCTAAACTACCGAACCGATATCAATCAAATTTGCCCACCGTGTGAAGTTTGATCTAACTTAAAAGATAGGATAGCTTACATCTCAATTTATACCCGCGATATTATTTTATTTGCAAAATATTTGTTTATTATTTGATAGTCACAATTTTAACAGATGGCGCGGCGTGTGTTGAAAGTACCAACGTTTCAAATAAGCTACAAATTAATGGCATTACCACCAAAAAAGCATGGTGGTCCCCATGACTAGTGCTTTCCTACCGTTTCCCTTGAATAGGTTACTACTATGTAATATAACTAAAATATATAAACCTTAGCCACAGCAACGCTCGGCCGGTCTGCTAGATAACTGTGGTTTACTAAGAAAATACATTACATACATTAAAAAAACTTCATTATTTTGTTTCTTAATTTTTTTTGTATTATTCCCAAGATTCAGAAGTCTTTGTATTAAGAATAGCAAAAAATAATAATAATTAAAAATTTAAAAAAAACTTACATCAACATCAAGTTCCACATTTGGCCTTACATGTACAAAATGTATATCAAGTCCCTGAATATTAGTAACATATTGATCATATTTGTTTAAGAAATTTTGCCTGTCTACAAAATTGTATTTATTTTGCCAATAGTCAAGAACTCGGGTAAGAAAATTGGAATTAAAACCATATGTAAAACCTGTATCTTCAAGAGGTGGTTGGAATGGTCTTCTATGTAGCAGGAGGTTTCGTAACTCATTCACCATCTGTAAATAATTGTACAATCATGTGTTAAAGAGGTTGTACAATATTGTAATATTGCAAGTCTAAAATATACTTAAAAAGCAATATAGGACTGATTCCATTTTATCAAATTTTATGCAATCGGCTAAGATATTACATATTTCTACAAAGGATTATTATTATTAACAGTATAAAGATTTGATCTGAAAATTAAAAATTTTGGTGTATTTAATACACAAGCTTATCACTTTTTTCTTTGAACATAATAATGCAAATTGCTACAGATTTAACCAAATGTCAAAGCTTTGAGTGTAGAAATTATGATAAACTTATTTAACAGAATGTCTATACAAGAAGTTGTTAAATTATTACATGCACTAAAGACTTTGTGATGACCATAGATATGTTAACAAATATTAATAATTATCACTTACCACCTCAGAAAACTCTACAGAATAGCTCCTGATAGACTTATCAGGATTTGATTTCATAGGATATGGACCCCAATATTCTTCTAGATTTACTTTAGGCATCTTAGGAGGAGTATTTATCAACCTATACACATAGTATGATACTCCGAGAGATAATAAAGATGTTATAAGCAGGGGAACAGCCTGAAAGTATACACAGCAACAATTATGTTAAAAGTTTTAAGAATTTTGGGTTTGAGTAAAAAATACTAGTAGTTATATTATTAACTAACAATTAATTCATATTATATAATTTCAATTAATTTAAAGACTAATAAATCATCTTACACTTCCCAATGTTATCACACTATCAACATAGGTTTTCTTAGAATATTAATATATTGAATTTATTAAATTGAAACACTTCCTCTTGATATTTATATGCTATAATCCATAATATATAATAATAATATGAAATTGAAAACAGCCCCAAATTCTATCGACATACTCACCAAACTTCTATTTCGTTTTACCGGCACATTTTGTTTTTTGTTCTTTTCTGCCATTGTTTGAGAAATTAGACCTTTTAATGAATAAACACCTAAATAACATTAGATAATTTTTAACGGGTAAACACTTGTCGACCCTCGACAATCGATACTTTTATTATATTGTAATCTTTGATTGATTGTTAGAAATGGGAATTTGGATTGCCGCCTTAGTGTAACCAACACTAAAAAAATATTTTCCCTATGTATATATGACATATCTAATATACTAATTACTAGTCTAGGATTAAACGACAATATATAAGAAAATAAACGTAAAAACTAATAAAAACGTACGGCTTTGTCCTCTAAATAAATAACTATGACAACATTACTCGAAATTAAATAAAAAAAACTTGCAGCTGATATTTTTTTAAATATAAACTGAATCAATTTTCATTTTATTTTGTTCGAGGAATAATGAAAGTTGAAAAATTTAGTTTGGTATTAGTTTTATTGGTCTGTATATGTAGTTTTACAAAGCATAATAATGAAATCGCTTCAACGTAGCTATGAAGAGATTAGAACAATTCAGTTAAGATACATACTTACTGCCTAAACTTAGGAAAAAGTCTGTATTGGCATCACTAGGCGATACACTTAAAGAAACTAAGTAATGCCAACTTGGGGGTTCCCCCCCACATTTAGGAGAAATGAAGATGTCTTGGGGGGTTTTTAGGAGGGATATTTTGTACAAGGAAAACATTATTTTTAAACGCACGATTCTAATCAATTTATATTAGAACCAAGCCAAAAACCTTAACCAAATATAAACACCAAGCGTGGCTATAACTGTCAAAACCTATACGTTTTTCTAATTGAATGGTTTGAAACATGAAGTTGGTTTCATAATAAATAATAAATAATAAATAATAAATAATAAATAATAAATAATAAATAATAAATAATAAATAATAAATAATAAATAATAAATAATAAATAATAAATAATAAATAATAAATAATAAATAATAAATAATAAATAATAAATAATAAATAATAAATAATAAATAATAAATAATAAATAATAAATAATAAATAATAAATAATAAATAATAAATAATAAATAATAAATAATAAATAATAAATAATAAATAATAAATAATAAATAATAAATAATAAATAATAAATAATAAATAATAAATAATAAATAATAAATAATAAATAATAAATAATAAATAATAAATAATAAATAATAAATAATAAATAATAAATAATAAATAATAAATAATAAATAATAAATAATAAATAATAAATAATAAATAATAAATAATAAATAATAAATAATAAATAATAAATAATAAATAATAAATAATAAATAATAAATAATAAATAATAAATAATAAATAATAAATAATAAATAATAAATAATAAATAATAAATAATAAATAATAAATAATAAATAATAAATAATAAATAATAAATAATAAATAATAAATAATAAATAATAAATAATAAATAATAAATAATAAATAATAAATAATAAATAATAAATAATAAATAATAAATAATAAATAATAAATAATAAATAATAAATAATAAATAATAAATAATAAATAATAAATAATAAATAATAAATAATAAATAATAAATAATAAATAATAAATAATAAATAATAAATAATAAATAATAAATAATAAATAATAAATAATAAATAATAAATAATAAATAATAAATAATAAATAATAAATAATAAATAATAAATAATTTAATACTGCACAACACAGTTTGATGACTTGATTCTGCGTCCAGCATATATTATAAACAATAAAAAAGTGTGTGTGTGTCAGCTACGATGCACGATTGGAGTTTACTCCTTACGAACGATAAAATGGCGATAATGTTCTGTGGCTGTCGACCATATTTTCATACTAAAGGTGGTAAGAATATATGTTTTTTATACATTGATATACAAAAAACCCAAGATGCACACTCAACGTCTAAAAAACGTCCTCAAAAACATTCTAAATTGTGCGCTCATTTCAAATAGTCTCGCGTCGCTCGCGTCTGGGAGCAGTTGTTAAAAATGCCTAAGTGTTCTGTGAGAAATTGTACAAATATTACGTCAAGAAGGGTAAAAAAGGATGGGATATCGTATTTTCGGTAATTAAAAAACTTTATTGATTAGTTTTTGTTGTTTTTACGACTGATTAACAAGCAATGTGTGATTTTTATTTATTTTTTCTAAAAACTTCATTCAACGCACAAACTTCTATACGGCCAACTTCAATGGCTGCTTGTTCAGTGTTAGAACAACGCATTACAGTCTTCTTTTTATTTTAGTCGCATTATAAGAATGACCCTGTTCTATTTATTCTGATATAAATAAATTTATGTACTTTTGAACTTTTTTGTGTGTAGTTTTTGACAAATATACTTACGCTATATAAAGTGTAGGTCAGGAGGTAGCCAATTTAACATTTTTTTTTAATTTATAGAAAAAACTTTTTAACCGGATTAAAGTTATTATGTATTATTATAAATTTACAACTATTTAACATCCAACACCTTTTGTCTTCAGTCAACGTGACCACGCACGCTGTAAAGCACGCGAAGCGTCGGATAAATTTAAAATGATGTTAAATAGTTGTAAATAAAAAAGTCATGTTCGACTCCACTCAATACCTTGTCCTACCGACCACGGTCGGTCGTAAAATTTTATTGCTTTAAGTACACTGCGTTGTAATAACAACTTTAAATAATTCGCGTAAGGTTGATTTTGCAATATTATATGCTTGTAACTTATAGAAAGAGACAGAAATAGTGTTTCAGGACACTTTCGAGCGTTACTTTTATTCGAGACTGTGCATCTTGGGTTTTTTGTATATCAATGTTTTTATAATATAAATGTTTGTAGTAGTAATAAAACGTACCTACATCATCTACGCCCAAATAGGATTTTCTTTCTGTGACCAAAGTTACCTTTATAGTAAGAGAAGAATAAGAATGAACAATATTTTTAGTTTTAATTTCACTCACCATTACTATTGACAAAACTCTATGGCACGCTAGACAATCTACTTTTATTTTTTACACCTGTCAACACTGACAATGTTGTAACGAGGCTGTCAAAACGTGAATTCAAAATAGAAAAGTCTGTGTAATGTATTCCATCTCATTCTTTTACACGTTCAATCCATTTGTCTCTTTCTCGCGCCTCAACTTTTCGTGTAACACTTGATTTTATTCCTCATAAAATTTCCGTACCGGGCCTTATAACTCAAATCGTTTCTTAAGGAGTAAACTCCAAAAATTATAAAAATATTTTAAAGGCTCTGTTTATTATACCTATTAATGTTACGCATCTTCTACATCCGCTCTAGTTTTTAGCTGGAACTAATTCTATGTCGTCAGAAAACCTTGTGCATTCTATACAGAAATTCTTAATATCACTACCATAAAGTTGAAATTCATTGGCAACGCTTATAAATAATTTGTAGCAATTTGTGAAATTGTTAACATGTGTTTCGTAATGATTATTGTTCTTAACTCTCTTTACTGAACATTGAGATTTTTTATTTTACTTCAAAGTAAATAAAAATCCTAATGTCCAGTCCCGTTTCAAAGATAGCTTTTTTCTACATTCTAAGCTAATTAGCTTGAACCTGAAGGGTGCACCAAAAGGTGTAAAAATCCGGAGGACCTACTCATTTTCATTATCTAATTACCGTCTTCATTCACGTTTGCAAACTTCAAGAAAGGTTATGTCATAATGAATCATTAATTCTGTGTAATTTTTTTTTACTTCTGCATTACACTTACACTTTTACCAATATAGCATTTCTAACTAAATCGTATATAAAATTTATTAGGAAATCTTCTAATCTCATTCCTATCAGCTTATAGCAAATATAAAAATTAAACATTTAAAAAATATTTTTTTAAATGCTGAAATATTCTTCCACATAGTGCGAGGTGGTGCGTGGAAAAACTGCCTTAAGAAACGCTCAGTTCCCATGTTAAAATATTTAAAAAAATATTATTCAATTAAAACAAAATAAGAGACGAACAGCGGTCATTTTAATCGAACGTCATTGAAGCATCAAGCAAGGAGTTTAGGCCGGGTTCCCACTACGCCGGACCGGCAGATCTGCCGAAAACCGGACACCGGACAGAGTGTTCACATTACATCGGATCCCGGAAGAAATTCAGACAGTCCTCAGTTGAATTTGGACCTGCGCGCACAATGGACGACGAAATTGTTGTGTTGTGGTGGTATCTTAATAGAAGGCAAAATAAAAGAAAACATTGGGTACACCCTATTTTACGGGAAAGATTTTCACTTGGAACATTTGAAACATTAATGGGTGAACTTAGAAGAGACGAATCAAAGTTCTTCAATTATTTTCGAATGACAGCAACCACTTTTGACGATTTACTGGGACGACTAGACATAAGAGTACGAGATACAAGTTTCAGAGAATGTATTTGCCCAGAACAAAGATTAGCCATATGTCTAAGGTAAGATTATTTTATGCACTAGATTGCGTAATAATAGTTTTGACGTAGGTACCTACTTAAGACTGTATGAATGAATGAATGTTTGCTATGTATGTTTGTTTCATGAATGTGAATATATATAATGTGTGTGTGTGGGAGGGTGTATGTATTTGATAATCATTATGAATTAAAAATGCAAACAATTATTTAAGTATTTATTTGTACTCAAACTTAAATCCCTTCAAAATCTAAGTAATCTGAGTCTTGGGAATGTATGGAACGATTACTAGATGCTGATGGCGAAGCTGGAATCGGATTCGATGTCTGAGATGAAGTTGATGGTATAGATGTTGTTGCCTGTTGATTGCTACTATTATATTGCGTAGAGTATCCAGGGTAGTGTTGATCTTGCGTAGGTATTGGCTGTTGATTGACGCTATTATGTGTGTAGTATCCAGAATACTGATCTGGTCCGGTTATCTGATTATATGAATCACGCCAATGTCCGTAATTTGGTCTCTCATAATTCCTACTTTTAATTTTTTGCAACATTGTCATGACGCTAGCTTGAAATTCTAA